TTTTCTGTAATTGCAATGACCAAATTTTCAAGATTAAAAATAGGTATCCATGGTCACAGGACATACAGCAGCCAGTCAATATACATGCAATCAACTCTCCTATAAAATCAGTTTCATGTTAATAGGTGGCAATTAATCCAGAAAGTCTTTGCCTTTTCATATGATTAAAGTATATATCTATTAGTACACTGCTTGGTTCATTCCTGTTTTCAATGGAGGCTCTGAGTAATTCCATGAGGTTCCATATAGTCACTCTAGTTTATTCAAGGGCCCCAAACATTCAGTGGAACACATTTCACTGGAAATGCCACACGAAAGTATTATTTCAAATAAGTTTTACCACTGAAATGTCTCTCAAGTTTTCATTGCAAATTTCACAGTTCAATCCCATCATCATATTTACTTGGACTAATGCCAAGGTCTCCACCCTGGCTACTGCCCTTGCCCATTCTCCCCTACCTGGATTCTTGACAGCATGTTATTCCTATCCCTCAGTCTTGGCACAGTCTTTTGTCCCACAGCCCACACATCTCAGCGGAGCAGGCCAATGCCCTTTATCACCTTACCTTTTGCATTTTATCATCAGCCCCTTTTTTTGCCCTAAGGAAAGGGCACTTAGACTCTAGATCACTTATTTATATGCTCTGAACTGTGGTCTTCAAGTCTCTATGCCTCTGCACATATTGCGTTCTTTGACTGATAGCCTGCATCTCCCTCCAACAAACTAATTCATCCTTCAGAGTCCTCTTATTTTTGAAGTGCACCTTAATCTTTCCATAAAAATATCTTTAATTTTTATTCCCTCTCCAATTATATGCTCAAACTTTCATTTAAAAAAATTTTTGTTTTCTTATTTATTTCTGAGAGAGAGAGAGAGAGAGACAGACAGCGTGAGCAGAGGAGGGTCAGAGAGAGAGGAAGATATAGAATCTGATACAGGGTCCAGGCTCTGAGCTGGCTGTCAGCACAGAGCCTGACACAGGGCTCAAACCCACGAACCATGAGATCATGACCTGAGCTGAAGTCGGATGCTTAACCGACTAAGCCGCCCAGGCGCCCCCAAACTTTCATTATTTATGGTAAGAAAAATTAGAAAGTAAAGTTTAGAAAGTAAAAACACCCAACACTGTACTCCTCAGTCCTAGGCAGACTGATCTGTGCCCTAATCTGTGCATACAGCTCCACTAGAATCACTTCATGTTGCTGAAGGTAACTGTTAGATGTAGGCCTTCAGTGCCAACCTGGCAGTTTAGTGCCAACTGTTTATCCCTGGAGTAGGGAATAGAGCCCAGAACTCGGGAGACATTGAATAGAACTGAAGGAATGAGAAGAACAGAATTTAGGCAATGCAGTCACTGCTGATATGAATTTTATAGTACTGGTACTGGTACTCCTGTAAACACAGTCAGAGGAATCCTCTTTATAAATGCTGACTACCAGACAAATCACAAAACAATTCTGTGACTCCCCTTCTTTTTTTCCTGCTCCCAGTCTGTGCTGTGTTTTACAGCCTCTTTCTTCTTCTCAGCGTCTAAGAAACAAGTCAAAGAGGAAATTCCTTCATATACTGATAATCCCCTGATGTGAGGAATAGAACACACAGGCTACTCCACTAGTGATCTGCCTCTTTACAGATTATCTCCCTTTCCTAGGGCTTGGTGTCATCAGTGCGAAAAAGGACAATAGTTTTCCCTCTGCTTGTTCCGTAGAGTTGCTGTTAGAATCAAATATCAAAGTATTCTATGAAATACGGATGTAAGATAATATGATAGCCAGTCTCTATGATGGCCCCCAATGACCTGCCCCTGGTATTCATACCCTGGTATAGTCCCTCCCACACTGTAGCAGGGTTGGCCAGTGTGACTAACAGAACATGACAAGTGATGGCATGCCCCTTCTGAGATTAGGTCATAAAAGGAGTTATAGCTTCTATCATGTTGGAGGCATGTCTGCTCTACCACCTTACCCGTTCCCCTATCTGTCTCTTTCTCTCCTCGCTCAGTGGCAAAGTCAGCTCCCGCTCGCTGTGGCCCCCGTGGTGAGAAAGCAAAGCCTTTGGCCAACAGCTACTGAGGAACTGAGGCCTGCCATCAGTCATGTGAGGAGCCTAGAAATGGATCTCCCCATCCTGGTTGAACCTTACAATGATCTCAACCCTAGCTGACAGCTTGACAGCAACATCATGAACGACCCTGAGCCAGAACCATTAGATTGAGCCACTCCTACATTCCTAACTCTCAGCAAAGCGTGAAATAACTTTGTTGTTTAAAGCGGTTAAATTTGAGGGGCACCTGGGTGGCTCAGTTGAAGTCACTAACTTCAGCTCAGGTCATGAATCATGGTTCATGAGTCTGAGCCCCACATCAGGCTCTCTGCTGTCAGTGCAGAGCCTACTTCAGATTCTCTGTCTCCCTCCCTCTCTCTGCCCCTCTCCACATTCACTTTCACAAAAATAAACATAAAAAAAACTTTTTTATAAAAAAAATTAAGCTGCTCAATTTGGGATAATTTGTTACACAGCAGCAGGTAACATATTAGTGGTATTATCATTCCTTCCTTCCTTCCCCCGTCTCTCTCTCTCTCTCACTCTCTTTCATTCTTTCTCTCTAAAATTTTTTTTAACGTTTATTCATTTTTGAGAGATAGAGACAGAGTGTGAGGAGGGGAGAGGCAGACAGAGAGGGAGACACAGAATCTGAAGCAGGCTCCAGGGGCTGTGCTGCCAGGCTGATATCATCAGTGAGCCTGATGTGAGGCCTGAACCCACGAACCATGATATCATGCCCTGAGATGAAGTGAGACACTTACCCGACTGAGCCACCCAGGTACCCTGAAGCACTGGCTTTCTAAAAGATGATCTAGAACCAAGAGATTATGTGGTACAATATGTCTTGATACTCGGTTTAAGAAATAACTTTTCCACTCCTACAGTACTTTTCAAATCCAACCTCCCTACAAACAGTGATTACCCAGTGTCACCTGGACCAATGGTTTAGATCTCTTTTGGAACCAGTTTTCTTTTTTTTTCTTCTTTTTTAATGTTTGTTTATTTTTGAAAGAAAGAGAGAAAGGAAAGAAAGGAGCAGAAAGAGGAGACAGAATCAATAAGAGATGTTGGTGAGGGTGCGGAGAAAGGGGAACCCTCTTGCACTGTTGGTGGGAATGCACTCTGGTGCAGCCACTCTGGAAAACAGTATGGAGGTTCCTCAAAAAATTAATAGCCAAATATGAATAGAGCCTACATGTCTATCAACTGATGAATGGATACAGAAGATGTAATATATATATATTCCAGGCACTCCTTGAATTAAATTCAAGTGTACACACACACACACACACACACACACACATACACACACGACAGAATACTACTTGGTGATAAGAGAATGAAGAGAAGGGAAGGGAAGAAAAAGTTTTATTTAAAGATCTGAAAATAAGGCCAAAGTTATAATGTCAAGTATATGAATGCAAGTCTTTCAACAACTCAACAGAGAAAATTTTGCATACAGTGTAAGAGAAGCATGTGAACAATCCTTGTGGATAAAACAGTATTGATGAGAGAAGTCAATACTATGAGAAATGGAGCCAAGGCTTTAGAAAATTTTTGAAGGGAAGTGCACCAGAAGGCTTGAGTGACAGGCAAGTGCACAGCATGACAGAATCCAAGAAAAGAATAAACTGAAGATGAAAGAGGAATGAATGGAAAGAGGGAAGGTGGGTGGAAAAGTGGATAAGGGGAAGGAGGGAGGTGACTGGATTTTCCTCTAGCCCATAGGTCATTGTGTACAATTTGAAAAAAGATGCTTCCTCAGAGAGGAAAGAGACCTACACAAAATGCACAGTTTGGTTAGCGAAGTTTGGGCTAGGTTTCAGCCCCTACTTGCTTCCTCAGCCACTTTATTTAGTGAATAACCTGTGTAACTGTATAAAGTAGTCCTGGAAAAGAAGGAAAAACAAACTAACTCTGATGCAGAAAGAGGCAGGCATTGATTTTCCTATGGTGAAGTGCAGGTCCATTCCTACAGAGCTGTACACAAAAGCAAATTTTGTTATCTTTTCTCACTGTTTCACACCAGCATTTGGAAATGTGTTCTCACAGAAAAATTTCAGTTTGGGGAACAATGTTGTTTCTGGTGAGTTAGAAAAGATGGCTGCTAGATGACTAGGGAATTTGAGAAAACCTGGCACTCCCACCCATGTAAGGACAGATGTATCTGTCCTCAGGCTGGTGCCAAAGATCTGTGTACACAGTTCCTTACTGCTTCCGTATTTGACTGTTCTCACAGTCATCGGGGCAACACTGCTTACTGATAACCACAGGGGAACAGGCGTCTCCAGCTGAATGCCCAAACTGAGGGTAAATAGGACAGTTTCTTCAAAACGTTCTCTTGCAGAAGACCTGTGTCACAAATGCTTTCAGCTACTTGGTAAAATGCAGACTCTTGGGCTGACTCTCTCTCAGACCTACTGAAGGAGAAGCTCTGAAAGTGAAGCTGCGACTCTGTATTTTAAACAATGGACATCAGAGCTGACAGACAAATATTTAAGAGTAATGTAAAATATGAGACATTTCTGTGTGGAGATTACAAAAAAAACAGAACAAAAAGAATCAAACCCAGCCAAGTGTACACTATACAGCATAAATTATACATGCCTTCCTCACCAGATTTATAAGGCAGAGATTCAAAATCTTTAGAATTACAAATTTTTTAAAAGTTGTATCTAAACACACAGCTCTTGTGGACTAATTAGAATGTTATTCTGAAATTGGGTTATAATGACACTTCATGTGTTGCTATCCTGACAGGAAACCTTCACTTGTTTTGCGAAATTTCATACTGGATGACTGACTATACAACTTAGTCCAGACATCACTCCCTACCTCCAAACTTAGGCGTCTGCTGATCAATCTCAGTTGCTTGCTAGGTGACCTGGTTCGTTCTTATTTAACAGCACCTTGAGTGGATAGCAGGGAAAGATAATAGGAACAAATCTCTTACCGCGGTGAGGGGTCCTTCAGCTTGCGCCTCCATCGGACTCGTGGGTGTCACTGCAATAAAGTGACTAGCAGCTCCACCCTGGAGCTCTAGCCTATCTGTATACTGCTCTGGAGCGGCAGTGGCAGGACACTCTCCAGAAAGTGCTAAGACCACACCTGAGGTTTCTTTCTTTAAATGATCACTTTCTGCCCAAGGACCAAGTAGGAGCTTTTCATCTTGAGGCGATTCCTCCAGGACTTGAAGTACTTCAGGCTCCTCATCAGAAGGGCTTCCAGTTGTTTTATGGCCTAAAGCCTCATTTGTCCTGAAATCCCGAAGGTCCTGCTCCTTGTCCACAATCACCCATTCTTTGGAATCAACCTCCTGCTTGCAGGAGCTCAAGTTAACTGCTATAAATCCATTGCTGGCACCTCCATCCACCTGTTCAGGGGTGTTGGCAGAGGCAGGCTTAGAAGCGTCTGGAAGATATTCTTCATCATAGTGCCAGATGTGGTCAGTACGGGACACAGCAGGAACACAAGGCTTATGAAGCAGAGCAGGGAGAATAGATTCCTTTCCTGCACTGGAATCTTTCTGCATTTTCTCCAGGCTTAAGAAAACAGAGAGAAGTTACTCAACTGTCCTAGGAAAATATTTATTACATAACCTATAAGCTCTATATAGAACTAACATTTCACACACCAGTTACAGAAAAAAATATAAATAAAGCCTAAGGAAAGTTCCACAGGCCGATAAAGTTCTGCTTCATTTGTCATAATCCTGTTTGGGAAGACGGAGCCTGTGGGAGGAAGATGGCTCTCCTGCTGCAGAGCAGAAGAGAAGCCTAACCAGCTTGACTTATATGATCTATTTCACCTTGTCTTTGCAAATTCAATCACACTGCCCTCTTTCTGGGAGACTGAGGAACAATTTAGCTGAGAAGCTTTTGCCTCACCAGAGGCCCTACAAAAGGAAATGAAGAAGCTAGTATACATTAGGCAAATAATTGATGTGTTTGTTCTTCAGAGATATATGTAAATGTACTCTTTCAAGTAAATACCACAGGTAGAACTTTTAAAAAGAAAAGCTGCTATGCCTGCTCAAGTATGCCAGTCCACTGCATATACAGTTGTGCACACAGTGGTGAGGGGTGTGGAGGGGGGAAGCTTCAAGGTATATTGTCAGTTTGGGTGGATTAAAAGGCAGTTGGCACTGTACAGAATCTCTCTGCTGGCTGAGGGGCAGGCAATGGTGTGACGATTTGGCTGCACTTGCTTCTAAGAACTGATCTCATCTTCAGGGAAGCAGTTTAAGCAATACACTTTTTGCTTTCGAAGTCTGTAATTAGGTGCTTCAATTCCTTCAACTGTTCCCTTTTCATTCTAGCCTCTGGCTTGAGTTCATTTTCTAGGATTGCTTGTCTTAACTCCATCTTATTTCTCAGCTCTTCCTTCAACATGGACTCTCCTTGGTTTCATTCTTTTGTTAAACTAATTCTTTATCAAACTAAGCTTTTATCCCTATTGCATTTAGGTCTTTATTCCCAGTCGTAGCCATAACTCAAAATGTTTAAGCACTGCCCCAACTCAAATCCATCCTTTTGATCATATTAATGTACAGACACAGCTTCTATCCCATAGCTGTAAGACTGAATGATTACCATGTAAGGAAGAATACACATATATGAAGGACTGTTGAAAATGGAAGCTAGATTAGACTAGGCCAGAAGTGGCTTAACTGTCTTTAAACACAGTAAATACCATATTAGTCAATTATATGGTCCTAACAATTCATTGCCAATAGCAGCCACTGGGACTGTACATTGAAGGGCATGTAACTATTGCTAGTCACTTCGCTCTTAATATTACTGCAGTCTTCTTTAATTCATATATAACAATCCTTCTGTTAGCAAAATTTAGGGATAACTGGACTTCTAACCATGAACTATAGCTATAACCTATGTATAGCTAGCTCTCTAAAGTTCTACCTTTCCTTCTTTCTAGGAAAAACTTATTCATGTCTATTTTTCCTACAGTACTTACTCATAGAAGGCCTTCATTAAATTGAATTGAACTGCCTGTTACATATGTATAATTTACTTGTTTCCCTCCTTTGAGAACTCCCCTTCTTCCTGAACAATACCTTCTTTATCTTGTTCATTCCAACTCTACACTACATCTTCTCACTGCAATAAATGAGAACTTACCTTCTAAACAAGGTAAGTTCAAAATGTTTTCAACTTGTGCCTGGTGTTATGAAATTGACAGCTCCCAGTGCTCAACTTGTAAAGTCAAAGGCTGTGTTACAGAACTTGTAACAATATTATAAGACAATTCACATTAAGAATCACAATGATAATTAAAAACATGGATGGAGATGAGAGCTTAATCAGTACTACAAAAATGCAAATATTTATTTGAAAGACTTTACATAATAGAAATTAATAATGATGATGAAGATAACTATAGCATCTCTCTTAGTAGCTTTCCTTTTAAATTTTTTAATGTTTTTTATTAATTTCTGAGAGAGAGAGAGACAGTGTGAGCAGGGGAGGGCCAGAGAGATAGGGAGACACAGAATCTGAAGCAGGCTCCAGGTTCTGAGCTAGCTGTCAGCACAGAGCCCAACGTGGGGCTCGAACCCACGAACCATGAGATCATGACTTGAGCCAAAGTCAGACGCTTAACCGACTGAGCCACCCGGGCACCCCTCCTTAGTAGTTTTAAAAAAAAGAAAAACTATTTCATACCAGGTCTCAAGAAACTTGTCAGTATCTGGCTTTGGCTCCAGTGTTAAACGTTTTTCCAGCTCAAAGCTGTGGATAGAACGTAACTTCCGCACCAATGGAACATCTCTGTCTGGCTGAGTAATCTCTGAGCGGACACGGATTGGTGAACCAAGGCTTGGAGCATTCAGAATACCATTTACTTGACCATGGCTGTTCTCTTCTTCAGTAGCAGCCTAGACAAAATATAAAAGAAAATCATGAAAAACATTCAGATGACTATATGTATAGGAATCATTGATTCCTTTCAAAATATACAAGCAAATTCCTGGGATGTGTTTTCAGAAATCAGGATGTTTTGGATAGTTGACATCATTAAATACTTGTCTATTAACACTTTATAAAATGAATTTTTTCTTACTTTATTCTCAGTTTCAGTATTATTTTAGTCTTTTTATGTTTTTGGTACAAAAATAAAGTCTAAAAATGTTTAGCCACCTTGGCTTTTTGTATTATATCTTACAAGATGCTTGCAGGTCTCCATTCCACTAAACTAAAAATAAAACTGAGGGGCACCTGGGTGGCTCAGTCGGTTGAGCATCCGACTTTGGCTCAGGTCATGATCTCACGGTTCATGGGTTTGAGCCCCGTGTTGGGCTCTGTGCTGACAGCTCAGAGCCTGGATGGAGACAGTTTCGGATTCTGTGTCTCCCTCTCTCTCTGACCCTCCCCTGCTCACACTCTCTCTCTCTCAGAAATAAATAAAAACCATTAAAAAATTATAAATAAAACCTGGAAAGGATATTTTCTTTGAGCCACAGGTGGTCTCACAAGAGGTAGAGGTTGCTGAACATAAATATCCCCTCTTGCTCCTTCTCTAAAAACCAAGTGAAAAACCAAAAAAAAAAAAAAAAAAAAACAAGAAAACTTGCAGCTAGAATAATAAGGAGCTGGACAGAGCAGGAGGTTGAACATGACACAGCTCAGAGCAGTGGGGCTATCTGAGGACAGATGCCCACACTTACCAGGGAAATTAAGCCTGACTCCAGGAAGTGGGGTGACAGAGGGAGGTCTGGTATGTCTTTTCTGATTGGAGACTCTCAAAAAAGATGCCCAATTGGTCTGCTGGCTACCAGCAGAAGCAGAAGACAATCTTCTCTGAAGTAAGAGTTCTTCTGAAGTTAGGCTACAGGAGAGCCATCAATGATTAATCAAACACATGGGAAGGAATGCCACCATGACTAAGAGCAGAAATAATAATTTTTAGAAAAACATTTAAAACTCTCAAAGACATCAGATATTAAACTTGTTAAAATAGAGGATATATAGGAGAGAGAGTTAAGATGGTGTAGAAGTTGGGGGACCCTGGGCTTTCCTTGTCCCTCAAATACAGCTGTACTGAGGTCAGATTACTTGCAACACCCAGGATAGAGGTCTTCAGAGCAATAGAATGATCTCCACAGTTCGAAGGAGACAGCTTGGCAGATGTGAGGTGTGTGGATGTAAACTGGGGGAGAGAAAAACAGTGGAGCCACAGACAGGAGGGAACACTTTCTGTGCAGAGACAAAAAGGAGGGAAAGAGAGAAGGGCTGAGAAAGTGTGGCATCAATTTAGCACAAGAGGAAAACCTCTTTGGACCATGAACTGGGGAGTTGAGAAGTACTGAGTGTCCCAGTTCTGTATTGCAAATAGCTTTTGGAGCTCTCACTCTGAGGTTTTGGAAGTATGTGACTTTCTCCTGAGCAGAACTGTGAACATGCTCCTGATGAGGAGGGAGCTGGCCCCTGCACAGTGTGGTGTAGACATATCCAGGGTGCTCTGGAAGAGAACAGTTCCCGCCCTGGAGTATTCTGGAGGAGGGTTTATTGCCTCGCCAAGGACAAAAGACCCTGCAGGTGACAGTCAAAGGCCTTTCATCAGCAGGGTAGGGAGGTTCTAGTCTGGAGGAGGGGAGCAGGTCCTTTAAGATTCTGGGTTTTGAATCCCATCTGTGCACCAAGGAGAAGGTGCAGGATAGTTGTGGTTCAGGTCAAGGTGACTGCCCTCACTATTCTGTAAGGGCAGCCTGAACAGTGGGAGTTGAGATCCCTAGTCTGGGGATGAAAGACTGGGGTGATGCCATTTCTCCCCCAGTACAACACAGCGGGACTTCACAGAGCAGCACTGTGGCCCCCAGTGGCGGTGGGCCCTGCTTACACCATACTCTGTCCCTTCATGCCTGGTAACTGCTTATCTACTGGAGGAAGACTGACTGAGTCAATGCAGCTGGCCTCTCCTCCAGACCAGCACAGCCAAGCACCCTTCAAGCACCAAAGACAACTCTTTTTTAGTCAACTCTTTTTTAGTTTTTTTCTCTTTTCTTTTTCTACTTTTTGAATAAGGCTCATAGTTTCTGATTTATTTTTTTGTCATTTCCTTTTATCTTTTTTAAATAAAGCTTTTTAATTTTCTTTTTCTTTCTTTTCTCTTTTCTTCTGCTTTTTTTCTTTCTTTTTCTTTGCAATCAGACTTAGAGTTTTTTGATTCTCTCTTTTGTTTTGTTTTTGTTCCCTCTCTTTTTCTCTTTTTATGGGATCAGCCTTCCCCCTGCCTTTTCCTTTTTTCCCCAGATTACTTGAACAAAAAAAAAAAAAAATCAAAGCACAACTGGTTGAAGGTTGGAACACTCCACCACTATAAGAAAGAAGGAGCTTTGTAGAGGACTGATCAGTGGGAAATAGCAGCCAAAATGCAACATCAGAGTGCATACAGCATACACCAGAAACACATCATGGAGTGACAGGTCCTGGACAGGGTATGATCCCTTTTTTTTAATAGTTTATTGTCAAGTTGGTTTCCATATAACACTCAGTGCTCATCTCCACAAGTGCCCTCCTCCATGCCCATCACCCCCTTTTCCCTTCTCCCCACCCACATCAGTCCTCAGTTTGTTCTCAGCATTCAAGAGTCTCTCGTGGTTTGCCTCCCTCCCTCTCCCCCACTATTTTTCCCCTTCGTCTCCCCCATAGTCCTCCATTAAGTTCCTCCTAATCCTCCTATGCGTGCAAACATATGGTATCTATCCTTCTCTGCCTGACTTATTTCGCTCAGCATTACACCCTCAAGGTCCATCCATGTTGCTACACATGGCCAGATTTCATTCTTTCTCATTGCCATGTAGTATTCCATTGTATAGATAAACCACATCTTCTTGATCCATTCATCAGTTGATGGACACTTAGGCTCTTTCCATGTTTTGGCTATTGTTGAGAGTGCTGCAATGAACATTGGGGTACATATGCCCCTATACATCAGCACTCCTGTTATGATCCTTTTTTAATATAGTAGTATTCTCAGGTGTAGGAAACATAACAAGTTTTTAAAACGTGCAAAAGACAGAAACTTAGCCAAAATGACAAGATGGAGGAATTCTCCCCAAAAGAAAAGTCAAGAAGAAATCACAGCCAGGGACTTGCTCAAAACAGATATAAACAATATATCTGAACAAGAATTTAGAACAACAGTCATAAATACTATCTGGGCTTGAAAAAAGCATAGAAGACACCAGAGAAACCCTTGATGCAGAGATCAAAGACCTAAGAACTAGCCAGGATGAATTAAAAATGCTATAACCGAGATGCAAAATAAACTAGATATGGAGAAATGAGAATTAAAGAAGCAGAGGAGAGAATAGGTGAAATAGAAGAAAAAATTATGGAAAATCATAAAGCTGAAAAAGAGAAGGAAAGGAAATTACTAGATGACAAGGTGAGACTTAGAGAACTGATTCCAAGAAATTAGACAATATCCATATCATAGGAGTCTCAGAAGAAGAGAGAGAAAAAGAGGGAGAAGGTTTATTTGAACATATCATAGTAGAGACTTCCCTAATCTGGGGAAGGAAACAGGCATCCAAGTCCATGAGGCACAGAAAACTCCTTTCAAATTAACAAAAATAGGTCAACACCACAATGTATCATAGTGAAACTTGCAAAATACAAGGCTAAAGACAGAATTCTGAAAGCAGCTATGAATGAAAGGTCTTCAGTCTATAAGAGTAGATATGTAAGGTTAGTAGCAGACCTTTCCAGTAAGCTTGGCAGGCCAGAAGGGAGTAGCAGGAAATAGTCAATGTGCTGAACAAGAAAAATGTGCAGTCAAGAATCCTTTATCCATCATATTCTGTCATTCAGCATAGAAGGAGAGAAGACAAACAAAACTAAAGGAGAATGTGACCACTAAATCAGCCTTGCAAGAAATTTTAAGGGGGACTCTGAGTACGGGGGGCAGGGACCAAAGCAGCAAAGACTACAAAGGATCAGAGAACATCATCAGAAACACCAAATCGACAGACAACACAATGGCACTAAATTCATATCCTTTTTTTTTTTAATGTTTTATTTATTTCTGAGAGAGAGAGAGAGAGAGACAGAGACAGCGTGAGCAGAGGAGGGTCAGAGAGAGAGAGGGAGATACAGAATCTGAAGCAGGCTCCAGGCTCTGAGCTAGCTGTCAGTACAGAGCCCGATGCGGGGCTCGAACCCACAAACCGTGAGATCATGACCTAAGCCAAAGTCGGACACTTAACCGACTGAGCCACCCAGGCGCCCCTAAATTCATATCTTTCAATAATCATTCTGAATATAAATAAACTAAATGCTCCAATAAAAAAACAGAGAGTATCAGACGGATTAAAAAATAAGATCCTTCTATATGCTGCCTACAGCAGACTTATTTTAGACCACAGGACACCCTCAGACTAAAAGTGAGGGGATGGAGAACATCTATCATGCTAATGGAGGTCAAAAGGAACCTGGAGTAGCCATACTTGTATCAGAAAAACTAGATTTTAGAACAAAGACTGTAACAAGAGATGGAGAAGGGCATTATGTCATAATTAGGGGTCTATATATACATCATGAAGATTCAACAATTGTAAATATTTATGCCTCCAACTTGATAGCACTCAAATATATAAATTGATTAATTAAAAACATAAAAAAACTCATTAATAATGATACCATAATAGTAGGAGGCTTCAACACCCCACTGACAGCAATGGACAGATCATCTAAGCAGAAAATCAACAAGGAAGCAATGGCTTTGAATGAAACACTGGACCAGATGGTCTTAACAGATATATTCAGAATATTTCATCCTAGAGTAGCAGAAACACATTCTTACTGACCGTACATAGAACATTTTCCAGAAAAGATCACATACTGGGTCACAAATCAGCCCTCAAGAGGTACAAAA